GACCAATTGTTGAAGCTGAGATTTATGAGGAGTGATCTGGATTCTGTCTTGGCTATGGAACAATGGACTAAGTCTTTACCCCTGCAAAGCTCCTGGAGGCGTCATGGAGGTTTGTCTATAAACACATATAGACTGGGTGGGCGTTTTGCAGTTGGATGTGAAGCAGCTGAGATGAGTACAGCATCTCCAAATCTGAGGTCATGGTTCACTGCTGGAAAACAGTGGATTGCTACCTTCTAGTCTGGAGTGAGTTGCTGCCCCATCTGAATGAACTGAAGTATCTCATTTCACAAGTGAGTGTAAAATGGGGCATGAGACTGACAACTGGCCTGGTGCAGCATCAGCAGTAATATAAACATTGTAAGGGACTGTTGGGGTGACAAGGGTGCTGATCCTCAGAAGGCTGCACTGGTGATGCTCATACAGCTACATGTATGTGTAATATGCCACGTGGCTAAGCCACATTTTTCTGTTGACTGTCAAACTGCCCAAGTTTGTGAAGGTTGGTCATTTTTCTTTGTAAGTATTGTGCTGTCTTTCACTTGATTATAGCGAGGCTATACCGATAAAGACTTTGTATACAGTATTGAGAAGGTTACTTATGAAATGTAATAGGTTACAGATTACCAGTCATATTTCCTTTACCTAAAAGAAACAATACACTCATAAAAGAAACATTGTGTATATGATATAAAATTATTAATTGCTCTGACTTAGAGTACATTAACAGCAATGTAAAATGAAGGTCTATAAAAGGCCATATAAAACTGCTAAGTTACACTTTTTGAAATAAATGTTTTATAATGAAATGTTTTTAGTGTGTGTAAATGTACAAAACATATAGGTAGAGAACACAAGACATCACAAATGGCAAAGTGAAATAATTTAATTAGTTAAAACCTCAAAGTGCTAAATCATAATCTGCAACAAATAACAGGAGAAACATGAAACATTAAAGGTTTAAGTTATGACCATTATGAAATTCATCAACACATCTAGAATCAAAGATACTAATATACATGAATGAATGTCTGTAATATGATATGATACATTCTCTCAGTCAGAAAACCACATCTCTACAATATGACGACTGTACATGGACTAGCGGTGTGGATATATTAGTGTGATTTGACCTGAAACAACAACTTCTTGAGGTGTTTAGAGATTTCTTTCATTTTTAACCCATATATGATTGGATTAAAGAGAGGATGATACACAATCATTTGTAAAGTCATTATGAAACGAACAATCTTTGGAATATCTGATTCTAGTCGAACTACAATGACATCATAAGTAATAAAAGAGACAAAGTTTATTAAAACCAGCAGGTGAGGTAAACAGGTCTGTGCAGATTTTCTCCTGAATGTTTTACTACTTCGGTAGGATACAATAAGTATCCTGGTGTATGTAAAAAATATGAAAAGGACAGGGAACAGTGCAATGTTTAGCAGCATGAACAGACCATATATAGACATTGCTACTGATTGCACACATTGAAGACTGTAAAGTGAATTATTACAAAAAATTCCTTTCACAGTAATGCTACACAATTTCATACCAGCATACAATACAGCTGCCAATCCACACTCACAAGCAGGCACAAGCCAAGCCAAAACCAGCAAAGTATTTACAACAGTTTTTCTCATGCTAGTTGGATACTGCAGAGGTTTACATATAGACACATATCTGTCATAGGCCATGGCTGACAACAGTAAGAACTCTGAACCGGCCATAGTGTAGTGTACAGAGCCTTGAAAGAGACAGAGTGAATGAGTTATGATCTGTTTTTCAGACAAAAAGTCGATCAACAGCTTTGGGTAGATATTAGTGCTGTAAAATACAGAGTTGATCAACAAAGCTGCAATAAAAATGTACATGGGCTCATGGAGGTTTTTGTGAATCACTATGAGACACACAATTGTGGAATTAATGCAGATTATTAGAAAATATGCTGTAAACATGATGACAAAATAAAGATATCTGTACTTGTGCACTTCTACATGCCCACTAAGAGTTATGTATGTAACATTTAAGTTATCATCCATCAAGCTTCTCAAACCCAAAATGTGAATCAGTCATGCAAGTTGATCATGTAACAGATGCTCATCAATAACACCTGAAAAAACAAGTCTCACTCATAGGATTGCAGTAACATATTACCTGTGTTGGTTTGTTTATAGACACCAACATTGGAGAAAGTGAAGTGTGTGACTCTGGAATGTTTTTAACATCCTGTTTCACCCTCCAAGGAGCAGACTGAACTCTCCATGTCAACACCTTCAGAAAACTCAAGAGTCCTGAACCCACATGTGTCACAGTTCTTTCCTTGGTGATGTATCCCCATTACATTTCCCATCATGACTGCCAAAGACCTTACTCTGTCATCCAATTCAACATGTTATGATTGTCATGACAAGAAAAATTACACACGGCAAACAAGTGCAGTGAATCAACAAAAGCTGACGTGTAAGTGACAAAGCACCAGTAGTAAAACACCATATCTACAGGCTTGGTTTCAGAATGTACCACTGGACACGCAAACCATGATCCAATTTCAATGAAGGGAACTTTGTCATTGGATTATAGGACTTTTGGATCCTTTGGCTGTGTGAGTTTTGCTGGTTCTGACCTTGGACTGTATAAACAACCTGTGAGTGTTACGTGCTGACTCAGTGCTTGGCTTTGTGTTATCATTTTGTCTGTAAGTGCGCTCATTAAAGAGACTGTGTTTTTTACTTGTCCTTGTCTGGCTATTTAATTGAGTTCACTCTCTATATCATCAGCTGCTTTACGTGCCGATCCAGTACAATCTGGCCAAACATGAACTCAGACAGCGAGAAACACGAAGTGTGGGAGCTGTGGAAGGAAGTGAGTGGTTTCTGCCACCAGCTTTACGATCTCCAGCATCCTGTGGAATGTATACAGCTATGCGCTCGTATGGAGACGCTGATCCAGAACCGGTCCCATCTGGCGCACCTCCCGGAGACTGAGAACATGCTACTCCAGGTGAGGGAGCTACGAGAGGAGGCCATTTTGGACTCTTGCTGGTTGGCCGGCTCACCCTGGGACACTTTGGAACCACATGACCCGTGGCATATGAGTCAATCTCGTGCTTCCTGCCCACAGGATCTTGACTCCTCCATCAGGGTAGGGGTGTACTCCCTTACTCCTGAATCCCAGCCCTGGGGACCTGCCTGAGCCCAGCAGAAGCCCAGGACATTTTTCAGTAACTGAAAGTCCAGATGGCCGATTCGCTCTCCCCCCCGGCACTGGCTGCTTTATGCGCCGATCCAGTACAATCTGGCCAAACATGAACTCAGACAGCGAGGAAGACGAAGTGTGGGAGCTGTGGAAGGAAGTGAGTGGTTTCTGCCACCAGCTTTACGATCTCCAGCATCCTGTGGAATGTATACAGCTATGCGCTCGTATGGAGACGCTGATCCAGAACCGGTCCCATCTGGCGCACCTCCCGGAGACTGAGAACATGCTACTCCAGGTGAGGGAGCTACGAGAGGAGGCCATTTTGGACTCTTGCTGGTCAGCCGACTCACCCTGGGACACTTTGCAACCACATGACCCATAGCCGCCTTTGAGCCTATTCCTGTTCCTGACCCTGAGCGAGTCAGCTGGTGCGCTGATGCCATTTTCGAGCCTGTTCCTGTTCCTGAGGGGTTCGCCGACGGTAACAGTGCCCCCTTTCTCCCAGCTCCTGAGGGGTTCGCCGACGGTGACAGCGCCCCCCTCCTTCCTGTTCCTGAGCGGGTTGGCCGGTGCGCCGATGCCACCACCAAGCCTGTTCCTGTTCCCATGGGGGCCGGGGTCGCCTTGGCAGTGGTCCAGTCTGGTGGTTTGTCGCCGGTCCTGCCCCTGAGGTCACCCCCCGGTTCTCTTTCCAGCACCAAGGTCATCCTCCCAAATGGCCTCTCAGCTCTGCAGCCTGGCACTGAGGTCGTCCTCCCAAAGGGCCTCTCCGGTCTCCTGCCTGGTCCCGAGCCTGTCCTCCTGAGTGGCCTCTCCGGACTCTTGCCTGGTCCCGTGGCCGCCCTCCAAGCGGCCTCTCCGCACTCTTGCCTGGCACCATGGCCACCCTCCCGAGTGGCCTCTCCGGACTCTTTCCTAGCATTGCGACTGCCCTCTTGAGCAGGCATTCTGGACTCCTGTCTGCCACCCAGGTCGCCTTCCTGAGCGGCCTCTCTGGACTCCTGTCTGCCGCCTTGTTCTGCTGGGTCGCCTCGTGAGTGGTGGTACCGGGGTCTTTGTTTTTGGGCTTCCCATGGACTTGGACTATGTGTATTGGGGTTTTGTTTTTTCTTTGTGTTTTTGACTTCAGATTGCCTTGGATCACTGTATATTGCCTGGCCCTTCTTACTCGGACTGCTCTCTGCCTATTGGATCATTGGACTTCCCTTTTTGACATCTCATTTTAGATCCCTTGGCTGTGTGCGTTTTGCTGGTTCTGACCT